TTTTCTGTGATCACTACATTTATGGGAAGATGAACAGAATCAGATTTAGTGTGGGAAACCACTGTTCTAGGGCTATTTTAGACTATATCCATTCAAATGTATGGGGACCAACTAAATATCCATCCTTAGGAGGTTGTAGATATTTCATCAGCATAATAGATGACTATTCTAGGAGGGTCTGGGTTTATTTCTTGAAAACTAAGGGAGAGACTTTTAGGAAATTCAGAGATTGGAAAGTCATGATTGAAAACTAAACAGGGAAGAAAATTAGGAAACTTAGAACTGATAATGGTTTAGAATTCATAAATGAAGAGTTTGATAATCTGTGTAGGGAAAGTGGAATCTGAAGCATAGGACAGTAAGGCACACACCCCAGCAGAATGGTTTAGCAGAAAGGATGAATAGGACCATTTTGGAAAAGGTTAGAAGCCTATTATCCTGATCTAAGTTACCCACCAGGTTTTGGGCAGAGGCTGCCCACACAGCAGTCTACCTAATTAACAGAATACCCTCATCTGCTATTAGTTTAAGAACACCCATGGAAAAATGGTCTGGGCACCTTGCAAACTATAGTAACCTTAGGGTTTTTGGCTACATTGTTTTTGTTCATGAAAAAACAGATAAGTTACAACCTAGGGCTATTAAGTGTATTTTCTAAGGATATCCTGATGGCATTAAGGGTTATAAATGCTGGGATATTAGAGGGAAAAAGTGTATCATTAGCAGAGATGTTAGGTTTAATGAAGATGAGTTGGGTGGTTTGAGTCAAGAAGAGAGTAACAATGCAGATAGAATAGAGGTGTTCAATCTGGATCTAGGTGGAGATTTTCCAAACAATCCTGTTTCAGACTTTGTTTTAGATTCCCATATCCAGGAGGAAGAACCTAGTTTAGGTGAAAATAGTGATAATGATGATGATGGTCATGACTTACAAAATTATCAACTAGCTAGAGATAGGGAAAGAAGGGAAATTAGACCACCTAGGAGGTACTCACATGCTGACATGGTTGCATTTGCTCTTCAAATTGCTGAAGAGATTAATGATGAGCCTAGGACTGTTAAGGAAGCTATGATTAGTAAAAATTCTAGGGAATGGAAACTTGCCATGCAGGAAGAATTTGAGTCTCTAATCAAAAATCAGACCTGTATCCTTGTTAACAAACCTAAAGGTAGTAGGGTGGTTAAGTGTAAATGGGTTTTCAAAAAGAAAGAGGGTATACCAGGGGTTGAAGCACCTAGGTTTAAAGCTAGGTTGGTAGCCAAAGGTTTCACACAGGTTGAAGGAGTTGATTATAATGAAATTTTCTCACTAGTTGTGAGACATACCACTATCAGAATTCTTTTAGCCTTAGTAGCTTAGTTTGATTTAGAATTGGAGCAATTAGACATCAAAACTGCTTTCTTGAATGGTGAATTAGAAGAAAGAATCCTGATGGAGCAGCCTGAATTGTTTGAAAAGGGGTCTACAAACCAAGTTTGTTTGTTGAAAAAATCACTGTATGGATTAAAGTAGTCACCTAAACAGTGGTATAGAAAATTTGACTGGTTTATGGTGAATGTTGGATTTATTCGAAGTAGCTTTGATTGTTGCTTTTATTTTAAGTGTTTGTATGGTGAGTGCTACATTTACTTGGCTTTGTATGTGGATGCTATGCTTGTAGCTTGTAAAGATCTTTCTGAAATTGCTAGGTTTAAGGAAGAGATGAGTAGACAATTTGAAATGAAAGACTTAGGGCAAGCTAAGAAAATCCTAGGAATGAATACTGAAAGGGATAGAAAAAATGGAAAACTAATCCTGTCACAAAAAGAATATGCTGGAAAAGTTATCAGGAAGTTTAACATGAGTAATTCCAAACCTGTCAAAACACCCTTAGGACAGCACTTTAAACTCAGTTCAGTTCAATGCCCAGAAACAGAAGAAGAGAGGAAGGAAATGGATTGCATCCCATATGCAAATGCAATAGGGAGCTTGATGTATTTGATGGTGTGTACCAAACCTGATTTAGCCTTTGCAGTTAGTTCTGTAAGTAGGTTTATGAGTAATCCTAGGAAGAATCATTGGGAAGCTGTAAAATGAGTGCTTAGGTATGTGAGGGGTACAATGACTACTGGTATTGTTTACAGCAGGGGACAAAATCAGGGTAATATCATTGTAGGATATGTGGATGCTGATTATGCAGGAAATGTAGATAGTAGGAAATCCATGACTGGTTTTTGTTTCTCTTTCTGGAATAATCTGGTTTCTTGGAAGGCTAATCTGCAGGCAATTGTTACTTTGTCAACTACGGAAGCAGAATACATTGCCATTATAGAGGCTGTCAAAGAAGCAATGTGGCTCAAGAGAATGCTTGAGGAAATGGGTTTGAACCAGCAGCAGGTTCCAATCAAAAGTGACAGCCAAAGTGCAATTTTTCTGTGTAAAAATCAAGTGTTTCATGAGAGATCAAAACACATTGATGTCAAGCTACATTTCATAAGGAATCTGATTGAAGATAAAGCCATCAAGGTGGAGAAGGTTCCTGGTTGTGAAAACCCAGCAGACATGTTCACCAAGTCTGTTGTCTTGGACAAGTTAAGGCTCTTTAAGAGCCTTCTTCACATTGAAGAAAAGTAGAAGGAATTTCCAAGGCAGTAAGTGAGGGCAATGATCAAGTGCCAAGGTGGAGATTTGTTGTGAGGTGGCAATTAATTTATGCCCACGTGGAAGTCAAAGTTTAATTTGGACAGTCAAAGTCATTTTGATAAAGCTAAGGGGTAGTTCTGTAAAAACCAGCCTTCAATAAACCTAATTCAAATTAGGTTTTGCTCATTTCCATTTCTCTCGAGTTTTCTCTCTTGGTTAATAAAGAGAGAAAAGTTTGTTATGAAATATTAGATGCGCTGGAGATTTGAAGAGTGTTGATGGAATCAACGGTGGTGGTAGGTCTTAGCTGGATTGTTTTTCTGTTTTCTACTTCTGTATAAATCTGTAACTAATACTTGGTTATTTGTGTGGTGTATGAGAGGTGAGGAGATCTGGGTTTACAGAGGGGTTTTATGCACTGTGTAAAGGGTGATCGTAATTTCTGTAAGGTTCTCTTTTCTCATAGTGAAAATCTGTTTATTGCCTTGGAGAGTGGATGTAGGTAATCTATAAGATTACTGAACCACTATATATCTTTGTCCCCTTTACTTTTTAGTTCTTATTTTGTTTATTACTTTGTGGATTTTATCTGCTGATTGAACTGGAATTTATCTGCTGTGTATGAATGTTGGTTTTTGCTTTTGGTTTTGCGGTTTGGTCTCTTTGATTTCAACAGGAGGCACTACAAGCATCTTTCAATAGGCAATTCAATCATTAAACTTAAGGTGATAGAGGTGAATGAGTTGGGAAACAAAATACTACGTTTATAACCTGTAGATGCAAAAATCTACCTTTATGAAAGTAGGGACTGATTTCATGAGGTTGAGACCACTAGCGATATGTTGTACCTGCACACGCAAGAAAACAAGCGTGAAGCAGATGGAAAACACCAGGATGGTGGTTGCCGTAGGCACTCCGAAGCCCAAGTCAACAAGGCTGAGTGAGACTAGTTTAGTGAGGGTTAGGGAGAGAAAAGGTTACCAGAAGTCTAGTCGGAGACTGTAACTACAGATGTAATGCGAAGTTCTTAAGAGTAGGAACTTCGGGGTCTGAAGGTGTAATGTCTTTGTCCCTTGTGAGAGGGTTGACCTCTGTTTAAATAGTGACTACATAGTCTTCGAATCCTAGTGGGACTTGGAGTCCTTGCAGTTGTGGCTTTGTGAAAGAGTGGAGCCTGGGTTCAGTTACCTCAGTAGGAAAGGGAATCCCAGCGTGCCTAGGATACGGATCTTAGATGAATCAGGGTAGTGATTGACCTCCTTGGTAGAGTTAAGACAATACTGGAGCATATAGGTGACCCTAGGCTCTAAGTTGATCGTAAGTCCAGAAGGTGTTCTGGGATCAGAAGGTCTAGGTCCAGATAAGCTGGTAATGAGGCCTAAACGAATCGGGCCTCTGTTGATTGGATCCAAATGGTAAGCAACTGGGAAGGCATACCAAACAGGCCTCATCTGCAGAACTCTGTTGTGGGCCTAATTGGAATTGGGCCCTAACTTCCAGCTTTGTTGAAGGTGTCTTCGTCTTTGGGCCGAGGATATTTTTTGGCCCCAACACAACATTTTCTCACAAATTTTCTCTTATAATTTGACGTTGTTGCTCGCAATTGGTCAACTTACAAATAGACAGGCGAGACCTATAACGAGCAAGTGGAACTTATTTGCAAACTGGTCAATCGTGAATTATCATGTCGAGATTGTAAAAAAAAAATTATGAGAAGAGGTTGTAGGTGTAATATTACTCTGAAAATCAAGAGTACTGTATCTGTGGGTCGACAAAGTAGTTCTTATGTGCAATGGAGAAAGTCTTGTGTATAAAGAAGCAATCAATGAAGGTGAGTTGCATCAGGTCAATGTGTCTGACATACATACATACTCCTCATTGACGGGTGGTATGTGCATCAGTTACACAAAGGTTTTGTCTCTATGTGAGAAAGTGAAGCAGAGGAATCTGGTTATTGAGATTTGGGTTTTGAGGGTTACTTCCAAAATATGTATACTCCAAATCATTGTCATTAGTTTTGTCTATTAACTATGCCCTTTTTATTTGGCCCATAGAATTGAACCTATGACCAGTTAGTAACTTATACTTTCCCTCGGACATGCAGTTGAAACTAGATAAATTTTCTCATTGACCACCCTTATTAACAATCCAATTGAATCTTATTCAGATCTAAAAGTTTTAATTGACGAATCACCCAATAGTGGTTATATTTTGAAATAGTATTGTGGCTGATTTTCTTGCAAAATCTAATGACAATTTACTTGTTATTTCAAAGAATTTATGAGTACTATTGAAACATATATCACCATTCTCTCTTACTCGAATTAATTTTGAGCCTTGGAAGAAAATTAGTTTAATTTTGAGCCTTGGAAGAAAATTAGTTTAATTCTGAGCTTATTATGGGAGTGCATAGTAAATATAAATACAACTAAAAATACATAGTTTGCATTGAAGTCACAACAAAGTAAATTGACCTTAAATTTCTCCGTCCCAGATCTCTTCAATGGACTTGTAAGGACCCTTCTCTGACACAAATTGCTGAACGATGTTCCCTCTCATCTGTGGAATTTGTTCTATTTTCTGAAGTTCTTCAGCACTCAACTGCCAGTCAAATATCTCAAGGTTTTCTTTCATTCTTTCTCTGTCAAAGCTCTTCACAACTAAACTTACTCCTTGCTCATAAACCCACCTGAGAGAAACCTTCACATATACAAAATAAAGCACAGAAGAAGTCAAGCATTAAATCTCGTCCTTCCACTCGAATATATTACTAAAATAAGTTCAGATAACTTGAAAAAAATTGGAATGAACTGACTCAGAAATCTAATTACCTGAGCAACTGTCTTTCCTTTAGCAATTGCAATCTCTTTCAGCACTTGAGAATCCATGACTCTGTTAGTTCCCCAAACTACTCCTTTGGCTCCCAACGGCGAGTAAGCCGTTATATGGATGCCCTTTTCCTCACAGAACTCTCTCAGCTTCTTCTGTTGCCAAACTGGGTTCATCTCCACCTAACCAAAATATCAAACACGCGTGTTTATTCAGCTATATCAACACTAGAAACATAAAAATTTTGTTAAAGAATTGACTTCTAACTTGATTGACAGCCGGAGGGATTTTTTCAGAGGCAAGTAATTTCTCAAGCTTCTTGCAGGAAAAGTTGCTGACTCCTATGGATTTCGTAAGTCCAAGCTTTTGACACTCCTCCATGGCCTCCCACACAGACTCTATATCCATCGCCACAATATCTTCTGTTTTAAATGGAAACCCTGTGCCCCGTTTCAAGCTTCCCGGAAAATGAATGAGATATAGATCAAGATACTCCAACCCAAGATTCCTACAATGAAACAAAAAATTAAAAATTTTCACATAAAAATAGTCTCTTAATTAATGTTTGGCCTGATTACATTACTTGAGAGTTTTTTTTATTGCAGGGAGGACAAGGTCACGGTGTGCATCGCCGCACCAAAGCTTGGAAGTGATGAAAAGCTCATCGCGTGATGTGATGAGACCAAGATGTAAAGCTTCGGCTATGGCTTCGCCAAGAGATTGCTCGGTCCCGTAGAGTGCAGCAGCATCAAAATGTCTATAGCCGAGTTGAATTGCATGGAGAAAATATTTTTCTACAGATTCAGTCGTGTTGAAAGGAAATTCAGCGGTGCCAAAGCCTACAAGAGGAATGGTTCTGCCATTTGAGGCTAAGGTTGCTACTGGAACAGTCAACATTTTTTCTAAAGATTTGAGGCTAAGGTTGCTACTAGAGGAAGTTCTGTGGCTTGAATTTCTCGAATACGATCGATGGCTTTATATGAGAACCAAAAGTAGAGAAAAGATAAGTACAATAGGTGACTTGTGGATTTATTGCCACAGTGATAGTGAGTTTTGGTACCCGTATAGCTATTTAAGATATAAGAGCAGATGACATTGAGTTTTGGTACCAGGTTGACATCAGTAATATGTAATTTTCGTTTTACTTTATTTTCTAATCATGTGCATTTTTGAGAATTTAAAAGGGACGCGTAATACTGGCTTCATTAACACGTCTTTCTTCTTATTTCTGATGAATTTATGGTACATATATGAACAAAATTTATGGTATCAATAATATGTATTTTATGGAATTTTATTAAATTTGACTTAATGATTTTTGGCGGGTTAAAGTGTTAGATTTTGAAAGTTTTTGGGAGTAACGTAATAACTGAAATAAGTGAGGACTAAAGGAAAATTTATTAGAGACGTTGATGAACAGTAATCTCTTGAAAGAGAGAAAAGAAGAAGAGAGAGAAATAAAACTGAGAAGAGAGAGAGGAAAGGGCCAAGAGAATGTGATGGTGGTGGCTGGAAAGAGAGATTGTCGGCGAATAAATTACGGCGATCAGAGAGAGTGAAGAAAGATTTAGCAAAATGGTGATGGGGAGAATTTGCATGGAGAGTCTATTGGATTTTGAATCAGAAGGACAAGCAAGGGTGCTATGAGAGGATTCTGATCTTGCTTCAGATCACTGTTTTTTAGCTTCAAAAGGATTACATTAACAAATCCATCCATCGTCATCAAGTTAACTTAATTGGGTTAATGTTTGTTTATGCTAGCCGTCTTGTTGGTTTTATAATATATTTGAGTCATGGGGATATCATGTCTAGTTTGGAATAAATTGCTAGTAATAGTATGCATTTTGTATACTTGTGGAGTATCTATTGGAGGTTTGTATGTGTAGACTTTGAATGTTTAATTGTCTATGACCCTTTCCTTTTGCTGGAAATTGGATATTAATTTGGAATCTACAGGTCTGATTATTTTGGATTGTATGGGTGTAGTGCGCATGGGATGTTTTTACTAGAATATTGGCGTTGTGTAATCAACTTGGTCGTTGAATTGGAAAGAGATCCAGTAAATGGGTGGGCTGGTTGGTTAAATTAGATAATGAGGCCCAATTATTTTGATTCGGGTTATTAGACTTAAATTATAATTAGTGGGATTGATAGTGTTGATGGGGTTTTTGGGTATTATTGCTTAAGTGAGCCGGCCTATAAATGTTGAGCCCAAATTATATTGGTTGGGTTTTGAGTTGAATTAATTGGTGGGCTGCCGTATTAAGAATGATGAGGTCCAGTTACTTTGTTTTGGGTTTTGAAATGGATTGTAAATGGTGGCATGGGTTTTCAGTAGATCTGACAAAACAGGCGGGTGGGTCAGGTCCAAATGGGTGTAGGTCTTATGAGAATGTATCCAAAACGGTTCGATTTAAATGGGGCCAAAATATTGAATCTGTACCCTACTCTATGTGGGTACGAGTGGACCCCTAGGTATCCCCATTATTTATTCTAATTTTCAATTCTTGCAATTAGAATTTTTGCAGTTTTAATATTTTACAGTTACACCCCCACAATCAACTAAATTCAATTACTCCAATTATACTCCAACGTCAGTCCAACCATCTCATTCTTGGAATTTAGTTTTTTAAATACTTAAAAGTTTTATCAGGTGAGGCCAAAAACCTCTCATTAATAATACTTCCACTAAAAGAAAAATAAAAATCTGGGCTCCGTTTGGTTCAAGATTGGGAATACTATCTTGGTATTCCCAAAAAAGTTAAACAGTAAAATACCCAAAATCTCTCATTTTTGGGAATACTATTTTCAATATTATTTAATTTTTTTAAACCCTCTAAATTTGTTAATTTAATTAAATACCCCTAAATATTTTTTTTAAAATTATAAAAACACCCCAACAATCCACATTTACCAGATTCTGGCCACCACTACCGAAAAATGGCCGGAATTTGGTAGGATGGCGCACTACCGGTTGAATCTGGCGGTAGTGCGCCGATCNAAAAAAAAAAAAAAAAAAAAAAAAAAAAAAACTTATTGGTTGTTATAGACTTATAATCGGTAGGAGGGATTTATTCCTCTTCCAGGTTGGTTGACTGGTTAAGTAAATAAAAGGAAGCAAAGTGTTGATTGCTGTCCTCTGTTACTTATCTTTCTTCTCAGAAGAGAAGACCGAGTCTTCCATAAAACGACAAAATAACAGGAAAGGAAATGCAGACGAGAAGAAGATGAGCAATTAATTGTTATTTTACCCTTTAATCTGTAGTTTAATTATTATTATTTTTTTCTTTTAAATGATTTAACAAGTAGTTAATAATCAAAACATTCATTGTATTTTTATGATAATATATGCACAAATTGTTTTGCTGGCTTTTGGGATCCATCTGTTTGGTACGCGCCCAAGTGACAATGAAATGTGATACACGGAAGTGTGAACATGAAGCCGCCGACATTGACTAAATTAGAGGCTTGGGTTCGATCAAAAGCACGTCGATAATGTTATCAATAAATGTCGAGAGATGAAAGAAACCTGCATGGCTCGTTGTTTCGCTTTGAGACAAAACTCAGCTGCGTCGAAGGGGAATCCATGGATGGTTGGTTCATTGCACCTTCTCCATGTATCATGAAGCCGCCGACATTGACTAAATTAGAGGCTAGGGTTCAATCAAAAGCACGTGGATAACGTTATCAATAAATGTCAAGAGATGAAAGAAACCTCCATCGCTCGTTCATTCACTTTGAGACAAAACTCAGCTGCGTCCAAGGGGAATCCATGGATGGTTGGTTCATTGCACCTTCTGTAGTTGCAATCTATAGTAAAATGACAGCAAATAGGGATGTCCAATCATTATCTTTTATGTGCATAGTCAAAAACAACTCACCAACAGGTGGGCCTAAATCACCCCATCTTATTCTTCATATTCTTACTACTGTTACTGCACTCATAACTCCATAGAAATTGTGGTTGCTTTTCATCTTAAACGTGATTACTATTGATTCTGGCTTCATGCAGGCGAGTTGTAGAATCTAAAACTCTTCTAGTTACGTATTACTTGATATGATTGAGCTTTCCAAAATCTTCAATCATGATGTAGAATCCAAAATATGAAGTTCTGCAGATGGCAATGCAATGTACACAATTTGTCCAATGTATTAACTCATAATTTGTTATATACTGAAGAAAAATTATAAAAAAACGAAAAATGAAAACTAAAAGATTTCAATATAAATTGGATTTAGATAACACAGCTGCTACTTCGCTTTCTGTACAAGTGAAAATCTAAATACTGTTCAATTTCCTTGAGGAAGTGGAGAGTAAGTTGGACCCTTCAGATTTCCTTGAGGAAGTGGAGAGTAAGTTGGACCCTGCAGATTTTAAGTACAATTTTCTACAGCCTTTGCTTGATTTTTGCAAGGGAAAGAATATTGACCGAACTGAAATGGAGGAAAAGACTTTTCACATGATTGGCCAATATCATGATCTTATTGAAAATGTTTGGGGACATCTTGAAGAGTCTAGACGAGTAAAGGATGGTCTTGAGGAATCTTGGTCATGGAGAAATTGAAAATACATCTTAGGAAGAAGAAATATAAGTGTTTGTGTGGGAATTGAAACCTCTTGAGGTACAGTTTTCTTGGAGTTATTTCTTTCTTGTGATGGGAACTTTAAAAGCTTGAATTACGTTAAATCTTGATTTGCATTTCTTTGGTTTGATTGTTTGTGTTTTCGTTATTGTTTTCTTGGTGTGATTAATGATGCAGAAGACATTAAATTCTTCAGAAATTTCCAAACTTAACTGGGTTCATAATATATTAGACAGCTGCTTCTTCGCTTTCTTTACAAGTGTAAATCCCACTACTGGTCCACGTCATAGACGCCATTTTTAATAACAATTTAAGAATCTTCTCGATCTTTCCTTTTATAAATTTTTAGTCTCCATTTCATGACCATAGTCCATATATAGTCACCATAACCGTACCAGAAAATTACATTGATTCTCATTTTAAGAAAAGGGTTAGGGTTTTTCTTAATCGACGACAACCGATCGATGGAGGAGGAGAGGCAGTGGCTTCACCGGGAAACATTAAGTTTTGTTGAGAAAGTGAGGAGCAAGTTGGATCCTTCAGATTTTAAGTACAATTTTCTAGAACAATGGCGTTATTTTTTCATCGGAAAGATCGACAGAACTGAAATGGAGGAGAGGGTTATTCGTACGATTGGTTAGGTTCCTGATCTTGTGAAAATGTTTGGTGATCTCTTTAAGGAAATAGAAGAATCTGTAATGATTTCTAAGAAAGAAAAGAAGTAAGTGTTTGTGTTTGAATTGAAACCTCTTGAGGTACTGTTTTCTGCGACTTATTTCGTTCTTGGTGGATGTGATGGATGATATTGGCTTGTGCTTTGTAGACTTCAAAGATGGAAATTTGTTAAATCTTGATTAGCATTTGGTTTTGTGAATCTATGTGTTTGTTGCCGTTATTACTGATGTAGAAGAAAATGCTGCAGAATGGTTTGCTTGAAATTTTCATTTCAAAAGATCATAAATCCAGTGTGTAAAAAATCTTATACAAAAATAAGAATCATGTTTTGTTCAATAATCTGCTGACTTATTTATCTTGATTTTCTGAACTTTTCCCAAAAACATTTCCATACATTTTTTTGGCAATTAAATCATTAGACTTACAGCAGTGACACAGGTGAAGGAGTTAAACCAAGAGTACTGTATTTGTGGGTCGAGATCTAAAGTAGTTCTTTTGTGCAATGGAAAAAGGTGAGTACATCAGGTCAATGTGCCTGTTGATAAAGGCTCTGTTAATGAAAGTGAGTCACGTCATGTCTGATATACATACACGCTCTTGGTTGGTGGGTTGCATGTGCATTATTTACACGAAGGCTTTGCATCAGCTACACAAAGGTTTTGTCTCTATCTGAGAAAGTGAAGCAGTGGGATCTGGTCATTGGGATTTGAGTTTTGAGGGTTGGCTCCAAAATAATACTCCACATCATTGTCATTAGTTTTGTTTATTAACTGAA